TTTAAAGGGCATTTAATACTTTTTATGATTTCCATATATGTATAGTGCCTATCCCATGCAGTAGCTTCACAAAGACATCTCCAGAACTCATGAATCAGAGCCAGCGATATTTTGTTTGTAGACAATCAACTTGAATCTATAAGTTATTACTGGCAGATGATTATAATTGAGACCCTAGCATTAACAAATGGAAACCCAGAGCATCTTGAGTTCTTTTTTTTTTGTTTTGTTTTGATCCTGGAAGTCAATAGAACAGCTGTGTATGTGGTTATGTTAGTCTCATGATAATTTGCTGACCTTATTATTTCAGAAAAATTTTGTGTGTATTATATTTGTGGGAAGGTAAAATAATGCTTTGAGATTTTTATCAAATATGGAGAGTAGTTATTTATGAAAAACAAAGAAATGTCTATTTTTGTTTCTTTGTTCCCAACTAATGTAGATAAATTTTAAAGTGCATTAAAGCAATGGTAAAGAAAATGAGATGCTGTACAAGTCTTTTTCTCCTCATGCTTCTATGGGAGACACACTGCTTTCTAAGAATATCTGAGGAGATACATGGATTCCAACTTCATAATCAGATTTCTCAGATGTACTTAAAATATAAATGGTAATGTTTTTATTAATAAGAAAATCAAGCAAATTCCAATCACCAGAAACAGAACTAATGGAAACTTGTTTTACTTGAATATATTTCATGGGTTTCTCCGCTGATCCTGTTATTATTTCATGACTCAGTTGAAGAAATGAAGGGAAATACATGGAAGAGCAGACATTGCCTGAGACTGTTCTATCAACCCTCCATCTATACTGTATACAGCGATTTTTTATCTCATGGCACACATAAATTACTCAAATTTTTGGCACACCAAAAATATGTATTTTGCCAATCTGACAAAAAATAGATATAACCTTGATTTACCAAACATAATAATAATAATTATCTACCCTTTTTGCCCCAAAGTTGACTTTTAAAAAAATCAGATGCCTATACTTGTATATAAGAATTTCTGGTACCAAGAATTAACCAATCAGATGCAACCTTATTATTCAATTTGACCAATAAGATGCAACTCTATTATATGACCTATATATTTATGGTTCCAGAGAGCGTATTGACACCAGACAGCAATTGAGTTGGCTGTTGTCATTTTTTTATCTGACAGTCTAAGAGAAAAGAGGTCAGTGTCCCTTATTAGTCAGGTATTAAATGCTTTAACAATTCTTATGGTTCACCAGTTGAAAATTGCTGCTCTATACCAAACCTATAGATGTTTGTGCTGTTTTTCTATGGGTCTGGTTGGGGAGCAGGAACTCCCCAAACTATTCCATCATTCACCAGTTAGAATCACTTGATATTAAGCCATAAATACAAGTCAGGAAACCCAGATAAGAGTTGATTCAAAGTTGGCACCTTGCTGATAATCTGGGCAGATGCTTTGTAAACCTGAGATACTGTTGTCAGATTTTCTTACTTGCTATTTTGGCAAGTTACAGATTAGCTACCAATCTACCTCATGTGAATGCCTGGTATGTCTGTTCCCCAGCAGTGCACTGAGGCATAAATATGGGAGAAGATAGGTAATTAGGAGCTTATGTTTAGGGGAGATAAGTCCAATATAAGAGTATATATAACTCAATGTCAAAGTGAGTGCTGGGAACATGATCAGATTGGTTCGTAAGTTAGGGCAATTGGGAGAAGAGAGGATAGTGTTGAGCTGGATCCTAACAGAAGAGCATCTGTACCTGCTTGTACAGGACTCTCCAGTTGGCACCTCTTCCCAATGCTTTCTCATTGCTCATTCCCCTCCTCCTCCGATGGAAAGGGAGGAAAGGGCAAAGTCACAAGCTGGAGCAAAGGGACTGTTGGGACTTAGACGCTGGAGAAATAGGTGGGCCCAGTGCATTACTGGTAATAATGCTTCCTTTAGTGATTTAATTACAGAGCTTTTCTGTTTGTCATGAGTGGAAACATGATTGAGAGGCAGCAGCATGTTTATGTGCATAGACTTGGGAACTAGACTGACTAGGGAATCTAATCCCAGTCCCACCATTTAAGGGCTGTGTGATCCTGGACATTTTAACCTGTTAGTACTTCAGTTTTCTCATCTGCGGGAGGGTAATAATAATACTCATATCCGCCGAAACCGGTTTGGCTCAGTGGATAGAGCGTCGGCCTGCGGACTGAAAGGTCCCAGGTTCGATTCCGGTCAAGGGCATGTACCTGGGTTGCGGGCACATCCCCAGTGGGAGATGTGCAGGAGGCAGCTGGTCGATGTTTCTCTCTCATCGATGTTTCTAACTCTCTATCTCTCTCCCTTCCTCTCTGTAAAAAATCAATAAAATATATTTTAAGAAAAAAAAAAAATAATACTCATATCTTGGGATTTAGAGGATCTAAAGGATTAAATCAGGTAAGGCAAGATCAAGTTAAAGCAAGGTAGAAGACCCTGTTCAGGCAAGGAATGGAAAGGCAATTGAAACACTAGATTTCCAAATTTGAGTCTGTGTAAGAATCATTTGGGACTACTGAAAATTTAGATTCCTAGGCTTCAGCTTTAGGAATTGAGATTTGGTGGATCTGGGGCCCAAGAAACTGCTGCTTGCTTATCTTTTTTAGGTTTACAAAATAGTTGCAAAGATGATTCAGAGTTTCTATATACCATTTCCCCCTAATGTTAACATAGTATAGTACATTTGTCTAAACAAGTCAACATTGGTTCATTACTCTCCAGACTTCATTTGGATTTCACCAGAATTTCCACCACTGTTCTTAATCAGATTCAGGATCCAATCCAGGATTCTACATTCCATTTAGAGAAACTTTCACAGGCACTTGCAGTTGATGAGAGGTGGTCTGGGGACATCTTGAGAAACGCTAGATGTAAAGTACTAAGCAAAGTCAAATTGCCCCATCCCAACATTGGGGAGATGAATGCAGTGTTTTTTATTTCAGAGAGGAAGGGAGAGGGAGAGATAGAAACATCAATGATGAGAATCAATTTATCGGCTACCTCCTGCACGCCCCCTACTGGGGATCAAGCCTGCAACCCGGGCATGTGCCCTGGTCAGGAATCAAACTGTGACCTCCTGGTTCACAGGTCAATGCTCAACCACTGAACCGCGGCAGCCGGGCTGAATGCAGTTTTGAGGCAGAAGATAAGTTGGTGCAGGGTGTGGATATAGGTGTTGATTTTAGAATTGGGGTGGAATCCCCTCTGTTAGATGAGGGGGTCACTTTAAGAAGCGAGACTTCTATTCCTAATGCCACAGGAAATGAGTTTTGGAGTTTGGAATGTGGGGATGTTGCCTAGACTGAGGAGATACATCTAGGGTTGTGGGCAGCTCAGGGGAGTCAGCAAGTGCAGTAAATTGGGAACAGCTGCTTTGGGGGACACAGGAAGACTCAAATAGGGGATTAAAGAGGATTACAAGGGGCGAGATAACCTGTGAGCCATATGAAACTTGTATTTGCTGGAACCTGGTGATAAGGCTTTGGAAAAGGGTCACAGTAGTAACCAACGTCAAGTGCTGCCCAGTGGACATTAGCAGAAGGTTAGAGAATAAAGGCAGAGAGGATCTGGTTGAGGGTGAGCCCTCACCTGCAGTGGGAGGGGACAGAACATGGAAGCTCTGCCTTTGGGAGAGTCCGTTCCAGTGAGGCGGTAAAGGGGCCACCGTTTGGGCCTAAAAGTAAAGATTAGTAGAAGTGAAGTAATGTTTCAAGAAAATGCTAGCAGAATCATTTGAGGTCTTGAAATAAAATACTATTGGTAACTTCTGATGCTATCAAAGAATTTCTCTAACCATTCAAATTACTTAGCTCCCTTTACAAGTTACAATAATCACTAAACTTGTTCCTTTTAAAAATATTAACCTTTTTTTCTTTGATTCTGGATTCCTCTTAATTTCTAAACTATTTCACTTTCCTAGTTCTTTCTGCACCCTAGAGATCCTAAACCACAAACTGGTTTTCTTAGAATTTATTTCACATGACATGGCCTCTCCTCTGACAGCCCCATTTAAAATAGCCTCAGAAACCAAGCAGACTGCGCCTCTGCTCTGGGGGGAACAGGCTTTGCTGAAGGGCTCCAACATGCTTTGTGTTGCTTGCTGGCATGGTGTCAGGCTGATCAGGTCGGTGAGTGGGCTAAGTGAAGACTATAGGTAATCTAATCCTTCGCTTGTTGATAGACGCTAGTATAATCTGCAGATTCTGCATTGAAATGAACACTTACCTGGAGATTTCTCTGCCGGCTGTCAAGTGCTTTTCCAAGTAGCTCTGTACTCGAGAATGCAGCTTCTGGGAGAGGGAACAGGCTAGTCATTTTAGATGTGGTCAGGGAGAAGTCTTGGGTGATGAAAGATTTTTGCTAACTTACATGCCATAGCTAAACATTTCCAAAATCACTGCATTACCCGAATACAGAGTGATTTCTTTTCTGGTAAATACTGGCTTCAGCATTTTTTTTTTTTAATCAAGGAATAGTGTATTTATAGACATAGGAAAACTCAACCAAGAAATGAACCATGGGCTATCATAAAACCAGGATTCAGTGCTGCTGGGCTTCAATAATGTCTGGACATACAGGATATAATAAGAGTAAATAGAAGAAATTTCTCTTTAAACAGAAACACTGGGCCTTAAGTTGTTTTAGGATGAACCATATGAAATTGCTGATAGGAAACCATCCTGTAATTCCTTTCTCTCTGGGGTGTTTACCTCATTTTACCTTCCAAGTATTAGCACAATAATGAATTATTCACAGATGTCATCTAATGCACCATGCCAGTGATTTTAAGTGTAATAAATTATCTTTAGGTTGAAAAGAGCAAAAAACAAATAAATAACTATACCTTAGAGGCAAGGGTCGAACCATCTATGGTCAGTTTAAAAATGCTTTAAGGCCTCACTATCAAAGCTGATGGGAAACATGTAGGTTAGGCAGAGACATAATGCTATGTGAACAGGGAGAAGTGTTACAAACATACTAGCCATGTTTTAATTAAAATAGGGTTTATTAGCTTTTCTTTTAATATAAACATGAGAAAAAACCACGTAAGTTGTAGCATTCTTTTCAAAATAAAAATTGCAATCAATACTTGAATCTCCAAGCTCAGAACTCCATAAACAATGTTTTTTTGAGGTGGTAGATTGTAATATTTTATATACCATTATTTTTTGTTTCTATCCTTTTAAGTGATGAAACCTGCAGCCCTCAATATAATGTGAAGCCTTGCTATACTGAAAGTATTCCTTGGCCTAGAAATGCTTTGTTTATAGGCAAAATTTCTAGGAATACATTTGAGAAGGTAGGAGAAATATTTTAAATAGTTGAGAACATTAATCTTTAAAAGTATTTCAAGTTTAGGCAACATTTTACCAATCTCCTAAAAGATTGATTACTAAACTCCCTGCCCTTTAAAGCCTGAGGTAAGAGTTCCTAATATTTCTATATGCTTCCTCTTAAATAGCAAGACTTACATGGGACACCTACAACCAAGTTAATATGTAGGATAGAAAAGCTGGTTCATTCACCTGTTTTCATAACACTACTATTAGGGTCCAATTCAATTTATTACATCTGAATAACACTGCTCCTCATAATCTTCCTTTACCAGAATTTAGGGAAACAAAACAATTTTGGTGATCAAAGCATGTATATAGCACAGATCTGCAAAGATTTCTTTTAAAGAGGAGGGCATTCCTATGAAGACACAAGTTATCTCCTACAGTGTTAGTGCAGTTTTAAGCGGTGGTACTTGTAGAATAATTGCTACAGCCTTACAACACATTTGAAAGTCTAAATGTCTCTTAAACTTAGTTTTGTGTATTTTAAATATTAAGCTTTTAATTTTTTGTTTCAATCCCCTCTTAAAGATGGCAAAGATAGGCTGAACCAAAAAATTAAAGTTTAAATAAACTTTGTGGTTTCAGCCAATCTTTTGTCATTTCATAATTCGCTAAACTAAATAAGCAGGATATTGTAGAAATCTTTTTGTCTCTATTTTTTCCCCTCTGTCTACAATGTGGACATTTAATCTGCAGCTCTGGCAGTTTTATGGGAATTTTGAGAATGGGTATTAAGGAGGGTAGAGCAGAAGTACAGAACAAATATACACCTCTGTTGATTTTATGGAATAGCCCTAACAATTCTTGTCTTCCTGCTTCCTATATTTTTTTTATATAAAAATGAAAATAAACTTATTGGTGAAAAAACCCAAAAAACTAAATGAGAAATTTAAACTTTCAAATTAAAGTCTGTAGCATTTATACTTCCGTAGGAGTGCCCTGGAGGGCCCAAGCACACTATTATCTAAGCTTAGAATTGCACTTGGGGAACACCTATTTCATTATCTGCTTATTATCACTGGACCACCATGTTGGTTGGAATTATGAAAATATCTTTTGATACATTTATTTAACAAAGAAAATCATCAGAAAATGAGAAGAATCATTATAGTTGTTTTAAAATCCCATTATAGTTCTTACGATATGCAGCATGGACCCAGTCTAAGTAGATAATCAATACTGACACTTTCTCTTATCCCAAACATGCTACTGTGTTAGTAAGTACTACTTGCAAAGAATTTGAATGAGAAGTGTTATTCAGCAGCTTTTTGATTTAAACTGTTTGCCAATAATGACTAGCAACTTCCACCATGTAATATGAAGAATCCTTTAATACCTAACAATGCTACAGTCTGTTCCTAAGTGGCTTTGTGAGTTGTTAGGCGTCCCATGTTTTAATGGTAATACTGCATTGATTGTAAAGGAATATGTAGCAATATTGGGAAGGTTTATTCCTTTTTTGGAGGGGGCGATTCAGAAAAGTAGGAAAGACATATAAATTATATAGTTAGTGCCTTTCAAACCTCAAAATTTAAACATGAATTAAAAAAAAACAACTTCACATAGAGTTCACAGCTATCAGCCTACATTGTAAGCAAATATCTGTGTGGGTTGGGAGCTTTAGCTTTTGAGTGTTTTTTGTAACTAAAGGACAGAGTGTGTTGCACTGACAAGGTCCCATTCTTTCTATGAGCATAGTCCTTGCTGCCCACGAGTCTCTTCAACTTGACGTCTGTCTTAGGTGAAAATACTAACTTTGCTGGTTTTTGAGCAGGAGAGGTGCTATTTCTCCAGTCCTTGTAGATGAGGGAGGGGCTCACGATATTACCACCCTTCACTTCTCCCTTAAGAGAGGATGGCTTTAGAGCGCTGAACACCAATAAAATTATCAGCACTAAGAGACCTTCTCAGAGCAGCTCTGCACAGGTCTTTGTCTTCGCACAATCTGGAAATAGCCTAGGAAAGACAATCAAATAGAACACCGGTACAGTTAAAAAAAAACAAACAAAAAACAAGGGTTCCAACCTTCACAAAAAGCATCACTGATAAGCCACACATTCACACTCCTTTCTATAGTTCATAGTTACTGCTGCTTTGGGCAGCTGAGGTCTGCACTGCCAGGTTCTGGGGATGTACTTCCTGCTAATTCACTAAGGTGATAAGTCCTTTAGGGGCTATGATTAGATTGCTAGAGCAAAGGGGAACTTAGAATTATTTAAAAATTGGGTTCTCAAAGAAGTCAAGAACGTAATAGGCTCCTAACAGCAATATCATCTATTACCTGTACACTTGTTCCTTAAACATAAAGAGCATACACTCGGGCAAATCGGTCCTTACTCAGCTATTCAATTTCTATCCAATCTTCATTAGTTATAATATACTCTAAGCAAACTTTAATGAGGTAAGTGTGTGCTGTACTTTATTGGAAGGTAGGGAAGGTCTAATGACTGAAGCACCGTAAGGAACTATGTCACTTGCCCATTAATTATGGTAGAAAAACGTCTTTTTCTAAAGTATCTTCCAGGCACCACAGAAAGTGTCCATTTTAAAAGAGTCCATTTCAGTTGTGAATAATTTTGTTATATACTCACCAAAAGTCATAAGCCATAAATATTACTTTGCAACCATGTACTTTACCATACCCATTAAAAACCCATGTATTTTCTACACCTAATATTTGAAACACACATAATACATTGTAAGTATATGTCTCCCAGGTTAGCCAGTAGTACTAATAAACTCATGGGACTGAACCATGATATATATAGAAAAGACATGAATTTGCAAACTGAATTAAGAGTGGTAAGTAGATTCTGTATGTAGATATGATTAGTGATACAGTTGTAAGAAATTATTCATGTACAGTTATAAAGGAAGGGTAGAGATTCAAATGGAAAACCATTAACAGATTAAATTTGATTTAAAACATTCTGAATTATGGTTGCAGAAGAGATGTATAATTTTTTTTTAAATGTGGGATCCTTGTAGAAACCATAAGACACATGATGTGAAAGGGTTATAAGCTCTTCTTCAATTTCTTAATTTAAAAAAGCTTTTCATTTTCCTAATCACTGCTTAATATGATTTACCACAGATAGCTTTGGCGACTGACAGAAGCCCCATTTAGTGATTCCACAGCCTTACCTCTAGATTCTGGGCTCTTTCTCTGCTAAGAGGAGCAAATACAAAAGGCAGGTCGTTGTCATCAGCTAAGGAGCGAAGGTCAAAGTAGTATTTGGCATAAACACTGGCAGGAACATTAATATTAAACTGAAGTAGCTCTAAAAAATGCCTTTCCATCTCATTCCTGGGGAGGAGGAGGAGACAAAACCAACACAGGACAATTTTAGTCAATTGGACTATCATCTTCAAAAATATCATTATGAGCTACTGGGATGGCTCTAAATTTTGTTTTGAAACAAGTAAAGGCTACCCAGCTGTATGAATACACTAATGTTCAAACAAGGTTCAGCTACTTGTGGTCCTTCCTGCATCCCAGCATTCTGGGTTCGGGACAAGGGGGAAGAGGTGATGGCCCTCTGTGCACTTGTGCTGCTGACTCGGGGCTCATTCTTCAGAGTTCCATTAGTGCAGCTGTACGCTTCCTGCTCCTCGCTCACTCACCAGGCCCCACTATAGTGCTCAGATGAAAGGAATGATGTATGCTGTTTATTAGCTCTGAAGAACTTGCAGACATTTTCACCAGGCCGATAACAGGAAGGGACTTATTGAAGTAGAGAGGCGCCAACAAAAGGAGTGGGCACATCACCACGGCAACAAATGGATGCATCGAGAGCCACTGCTATTATCCCTGAGGGGGAAAACTCTTGAAGCAGCAAGAATTCATCTCAAATAAATAAATAAATAAGCCACATTCGATAGGAAAGCCTCCCCCTACCCCAGTGCATGGGGCTAATGTCAGAGGGCATAATGCAAGTTTTTGTTCACCTTCATCTTATGGGGTGAGCAACTGTCACTATGACAGGTCAGGATGCACTTTTTAAACTGGATGGCAGAAAGATTACAGACAGATGTCTTGGCTGGACTAAACCCACTCTACAATATGACTTCTGATAGAGCAATCGACTCAAACTCCAACCTGTTTCTCCCATGTTGGGAATGCACAGCATTGACCTGAGGTGCTCAGCATCCACCCCCCTCGCCAGACAGATGGAAACATAGCCACAAGGGGTGAGCTCAATCAAGTGTGGAAGGCAAGTTGGGAGCAGTGCTGTGCTATGTGACCACACTGCCATCACCTGCCAAGTGTTTAAATATAAAATTAGAGTAAATCATACTAATTCTACAGAAATCCCTTGATAGAATTAATTATATAGAAATAATACCTAAACAAACATGAGACACTTAATTTTTTAATATATTCATTTTTTTAAAGCTTTAATAGTTTATCCATTGGACAGGTCAACAAAGGCTTGATGTTCTGCATGGAGAGCAGTCAGAATATGAGCAGAGATGAGGTTTTCTCATTTGGTGAACTTTTAACCTGACTGAACCTAATTCCAAAATTAATTTCCTATTCATATAGCCATAAGCCTATAGAAATGTAAGTCAGATAATGTTTTGATAATCAGATAATTGGGACTTAATTTACTACAGGAATAAATGCACTTCAGTATCCCTTTTATGTTTTCTCCACTAATACATTTTAATTGTGTAGAAATACAGTACTTCATAGGATTAACATGTCTATTAATAGAGGTTTAATGACAGAAGAAAAGCATTATGCCTACAGAATATGCATATTCTGTTGTTTTTTGTTGTTGTTTTTTCAATGGCTAGATGGTTGAATAGCATACCATTTATAGGCACAGCGTATTTTCTGAATAGCAGCTGCTCAGTTTAACTTATTCTTTTGAAGGGAAATATATTCAAAAAAAGACACATAGATGTTGGAAAGTTTAAGAAAAAGCAGACACAATTTTTCAATTTAGACTCAAAATGAGATCATTACAAATAGTAGTCAACAGCAGGGGGATGAAACCAGTGTATACTAAACACTGTTGTAATGCCTTCCATTTTCAAAGATCATAAACAAAAGCAGCCTATTATAAACATAGCTCCTGGTGTTTCTGTTCATATACAAAAAGCATTTGTTTACTACTAGTCATCGGGTAGCTAGACATTGCCACCATTGCTCTGGGGCTCACATCTATGAAAACCCACACATTTCTTTGTGTGTTCTGATGTTATAACTAGAGCCAGAGCCCCAGCCAGTTGAGGTGCAGGTTTTGAGAAAAGTTCAGCTATCATCATGGCAGGGCTAGTGTTAATGATCACAAATTCTCCATCCTTCAGGGGACCAGTTTGAAGACCCATGATGATCAAAGTCACTTTAGCTTCTGCAACTCCTTAAAGTACTTCCATTTGTTTCAAATTCATTATTTGCTGTCACACTGTTTGCTAAGAAGGCTACCAGCAATATCACCAAAACTACTCAGTGTATACTATTTTCAAAGTGGACATTTGTCCCAAAAGCCACTTTGACAGATACTGACAATCGCTGGGGTCCCTTCTCTTGGTCACAAATATCCTCACTTCAGTTGTAAATACGAATTCTGGTGATTCTGAATGAGTCTTATCTGGAGTAATGAGCAAAAGCAACACAAACAAACTCTTGCCTCTGCCTGCTCTTCTTATGCTGTTCAATTATTATCAAGAGGAATTCTTTCACATTTTCCTAAATGCCACCGACAAAGACATTTTCACTGTCAGGTGGGCAGTTGGAGAGTCTGCTGGAAATACCTTTTGGCTCATCCTGCCCACCAACCTCAGGGCCCTTCAATGTGGCCAGACCAGATGCCCATGTTAAGTTTAGTGTTTCACTCTCATGCTAGCATGCCATCTCTAAGGAGCTCACCCTCATGGTTACCTACAGCCCCCCACAATGCACCGCTGTGGTTGCTGAGTGCCGCAGGAAACTCAAATGGCATGGGCACTAGGTGGTGCCCAGTGATGCTTTGCCAACTGACTGAGAGGTAGGAGTTTCCTAACTCATCAGACCTATTTTTAAACACTTGCAATCCTCTTAAAAGGGCAGGCAAGAGCACAGGGATGAAGCCTTTATATGCAGCTAATTTTCCATCATGGTTTAACAACTGAACTTCAGATAAAAAGGAGGGAAAGACCAGTTAAAGCAAATACACAATGCGTGACTCAGGTTTAAGCCATAACCTCTCAATAGTCTAGTGGCCTTAAGACATTAACAGTGGCCAAGCATTTATTTCAAGGGTCAGATGTATGCCCCTTAAAAATGGACTGGATCTAACAGATGGCTTTAAGTAAGTCACAGAGATATTTACTCTACTGTTGTTCTGGTAGTGAGCTTGTAAAATGTTTGTCAAAAACCACCAGAGACATAATTATCAAACAGACTAGAGGCCCGGTGAACGAAATTTGTGCACAGGTAGGGTCCCTAGGCCTGGTCCGCGATCAGGGCCAGCCGGGGCCTCCCTTCGTTCCATGCCGCCCCCTGGTGGTCAGTGCACGTCATAGTGAGCGATCAAACTCCCAGTCTCCCAGTTGAACTCCTGAGGGACACTTTGCATATTAGCCATATATATATATATATATTACTAGAGACCTGGTGCATGAAAATTCATGCACTGGAGGCGGGGGGGGGGGGTCCCTCAGCCCGGCCTGCCCCCTCTCACAGTCTGGGAGCCCTCAGGGGCAGGAGGCAACCCGGCGATCAGGGGAAGGCAATGCCCCCATCACACCTCTGCTGCTGCCACTGCCAGCAGCGCAAGCCTCAGCCAGCCCTGGTTACCTGAGCCTTGGGTGGCCCTGGGCAGCTGGGCAGCCACCATCCAAGGCTTGCCTGCACCTTGGGCCAGCCCTGGGCGACTGGGCAGCCGCCATCCAAGGCTTGCCTGCGCCTCGGGCTGGCCCTGGGCGGCTGGGGGGGCCGAGGGGACTAGGGGACTCTGGGAGGCGGGCGGGCCCGGCCTTGCCATGCACCTGCCACCCCGACGGGACTGAGGGGACTAGGCAACACCATCTTTGAGGGCGTGGCAGTCAATTAGCATATTCCCTCCTTATTGGCTGTGGGCACCACCATCTTTGAGGGCGTGGCAGTCAATTCACATATTCCTTCCTTATTGGCTGTGGGCGTCACCATCTTTGAGGGCGTGGCACTCAATTAGCATATTCCCTCTTTATTAGTTAGGATTACAACAACACATCAAGACCTAATGAATAATGAGGAATATGAATTATTATACCAGATGTATAAACAGAAAGAAGTATATAATTTTATACCTCTTTCAGTTCTCTGCACCAAGTAACCTTTACAAATATTTCTTAACATATAAACTTTATGGGAACAAATGAGGTACTGGAAACTGGTTAGAAAATTCACCAAAACCTTACAAACTCACATGTCCTCAACGGTAATGTCCTTGAGGATCTGGCAGTAGTCCACATTCCATACAGCCTGGTCATCCCAAACCTTGGAGGCAAGAAGAACAGCTCCCAAAACAATTCTCTTCCAGTTCGTGGGACAAATGTCGATCTCGGCATAAGTTAAAAGTCTTTCTAAGTAAACCTGCAAAAGTAGAGCACTGTCTTTGATTTCAGATCAGTGTAAGTGCTGTGATAACAACTCTTAGGAATGACAGATTTCATCTATTTTTTAACATGTCTTTTATTCTTAGGTTCTACAGAGGCTGCTTGGCCAGCCAAAGCCAGAAGCCACGTCACAGTTGCAAATCAGATACTTCTGTTGCCTACTTTGCCCATGTAAATTTCCAGCTCAATTTTTGGTCACAGGAATGAATGTACATCTTAGCAAAGGTCCTCCTGAAGAAATGCATTGTATATTACCTCTCCACTTGAAAAGGACAGCATATATAGGCCCAGTGTAGATTCAGTTGCTCAATAAATACTGGAGTGCCTACCACATACATTATTTCATACCTGCTGGTAGTTATATGGTGATTTTCAAAATACTTGAACATGTAAATTCCTAATAATACTGAGCACATTTCGATCTTCTTTTCACAGTAACTAGTCCTTTTGTGATACAGGCTGAAAATAAAAACTGGGTCAATGGAGCCTCCCAGTGGCTGCTGTGTGGTGCAGCAGGACAGGCAGTACAAGCAGGTGTGCTTAAGACTGGACTGTACAACTGTCAGGTCTTCCCGTTTTAGTGCCTTTTATAAGGAACACACATGCATACAAAGGACAGTCCTTCTCATATCCCCCAATGCTCACATCTCCATGATCCTTTTGTGAAATTCATCTCTGTCTTACATAATCTGAAACTTAATGTCAATTCTGTTGGATTCTAGGTGGTAACAGAGCTGCCAGCCTCTGTATCCCTGGTACTCCTAAACCTGCCAGGTAGCTTGTGAGATTTCTTTTACATGCATTAAATGTCTATTCTACAAAGAACTCAGAGAAGTTAATGGCTGAGTAAAGATTATAGAGGTAAGCTGTGATTTGTTGTTACCTCAAAGGTTGCTTTGCAGAAGAGTATATACTATGCTATTTGACAAAAAGAAAAAAGTCCAATTTTAAAGAGTATGTTTAGCCCTAACTGGTTTGGCTCAGTGGATAGAGCGCTGGCCTGCAGACTGGAAGGTCCCAGGTTCGATTCCGGTCAAGGGCATGTACCTTGGCTGCGGGCACATCCCCAATAGGAGATGTGCAAGAGGCAGCTGATCGATGTTTCTCTCCCATCGATGTTTCTAACTCTCTATCCCTCTCCCTTCCTCTCTGTAAAAAATCAATAATAAAAAAAGAAGAGTATGTTTACTGTCTGAAAGTTATCAGATTGACAGCTCAGATTTGCCAATGTTCTCCAAACTCAACTGTGTTTTCAAAAACAAATGGTTATTGAACATATGTTCTTAGTGAAATTCTGCACTTATTCCCCAAAACTCAGCACTCTAAGAACGAATCTCCTTGCAAGGTTCAATTCTACTTTATAGAAAGTATCAGAGGCACTTACACAACACTGGCATTGTCATCTTTACTGGCAGACTTGGAAGTGCCATTATTCATTCATTCACACCACTTGCCCTCCTGTGTCAGTGGAAGTGACATTTCCCTTCTCACTGAAGCTAACTCTTCTATCAGTGAAGTCCATCCCATCCCATGTCTGCAGAACACTGTTCCCACATTTACCTTTTTGAAGAATACTCTGTTTGCTAATGCTTTCTCTGCATTTGGACAGTTACTCTCGATTCCCTACCTATAGCTCAGATTCATGCTCTAATTCCATATATTCAAATGATCACCAGACACTGCCACCTGCTGTCTCACTGCCACCTGCTGTCTCTACATCTAGCTTAATGTGTCTAAAAAGAACTCCCCCACCTCTTCCAGCCCAGATGCTCCCCTTCCTGTATTACCTAGCTCTCTACATGGAAGCACCGCTCCTGCCATTCTCCAGCACGTGCTATGCACTCCAAACAGTTGATAGCTCTATGAAGAGGCTTGTGTCTGACCCAGTGCCTCACTAAAATTTTAACAGGGTACTAAAGGAAGAGGCCTTGACCTCAGTATTCTTTCCAGACCATGATGTTGACTTTTCCCTTTAGGTTTGCTGTAGGAAGGGGTAATATAATTCTAACCACTTCTCAATAGAATAGGACTTATTCCAAATGATAAAATCTTACCATAGGAATTTTGTATGGATGACACCCAGGTCCTCACACAGCTGTAGCTTAGCAGGCAACTAGCAAAGCCTTTTCAGGTACTACTGGCACTATAATCCTGGGCGACTTCAAAGGCAGGCACAAGAGGACGGCAGGGATAGATTAACACCCATCATCCAAGGAACAGAGAATTTAAAGCTATCGTTTTCAAGCAGGACATATTAGAATTGCCTGGGGAATACAACCTGGGACTCAACTTAGACCTACACTGATTCAGTCTCTGCTTGGGGACCAGATGGTTTGTATTGCCCCATTCTACCCCACCAGCACACCTTGTATGTGTGCAAGTGTGTGCACTGCATGTGCGTGTGTCTCCTGAGGTGTGGAGAGGAAAAACAGAAATTTCTCCTGCTGCTTTCAATAGCAATTGTTTGTGATGAGAAAAGCAATAGCAACATTTTAAATCATGATTATTTAGCTTGAATTTGTGTATTTTACTTCCTTTGATAGGTTTCTCTTAATGAAGTCTTAATGATCATTTCAGGAACCTATTTTTATTTCAAAAACAGAACCATACCCTGTGTACAAGACAGAAAAGATGCTTTCTGAAAGAAAAACTATCTTACCAAAGTCACTATCGCACATTCAGCTGTTAGCTGTGCAGCACTGAAGAGGGTCCGAACAAATCTGTAAATAAATTTGTGTTCAGGATCATGCCTAAAATATTCCTCCGGAACTGTTTCTCGCTGAAAGGAGAAAAAAATGCAATATAAGTATCCAGGGAAGAAAAATACCTAAGTGCTCTTATGATAGCGGTCTTCTATTTGTGCCCACATGTCCCTTAAAATAACATTTTTATTGGGTGACATGTCTTTTTTCAATTTTTTTAAATATATTTTTATTGATTTCAGAGAGGATGGGAGAGGGAGAGAGAGATAGAAACATCAATGATGTGAGAGAATCATTGATCGGTTTGCTTCCTGCATGCCCCCAACTGGGGATCGAGCCTACAACCAGGGCATGTGCCCTTGACCAGACTTGAACCCAGGACCCTTCAGTTCGCAGGCCAACACTCTATTAAACTGAGCCAAACCAGCTAGGGCATGACATATTTTAGTCATTTATATATAAACAATGGGATCTTAAAAAATAATAGTGATTCAATACTCACCACCACCATTCATTAAAGAAAAATATAGGCACAACCTCAGATAATTTATTTATTTTCCTTCTACCTTTCTGCTAAGAATTTTATTTAAATGTAAGTTATTTTTAAGCTCAAAAGTCTTGATCACCATGTCATGCTTCTCTGCAATCAACTCTGAAAATAATTTTGTTTCCTGTAACCACCAGGTCTAAGGTTGTACTGTAATACTGTAATACAGTAATCACCAGCCACATACTGCTATAGAGCATCTGAAGTAGTGAATTTGAAAGTATTTGTCTTTTTAATTAACTTAAAATTTAAATAGTTATTTAATTTTCTTCATAGAGATGTTAATATCTCTATTAAGTTTATTTACAAATATTTATATTGTTTGATGCTACTGAAAATTATCTTTTACAAAGATACACTTTGGGGTTTTTTGGATCCATTTACTTATCTTAGCTTACTAATTATACAAAGCTGCAACTCAGTTCTTGCTGACATATCCCTTATAAAACACTTCTTTTGTAAAGTAATTAGATACAACATGGGGTGGGGAAAAGGATTTAAAAGAAGATGACTTTGACTTCAACCTGGGAGTAATTTTCTTTTAGTAATTAATTTCAAAGCAAATCAGCATGAAATAAACACAACTGTATGAGAGAAAAATACAACTTCAATATAAAACTGACTTACTGTGAGTGGATGTGATCTCTCATCGAAAATATCCAAGGATCTATTTGCATCTCTAAAAAATAAGAATATGTTTTTTTAAAACTAATTCAGAAATTGGTAATATCTTAGCAACACAACTGCTGGGAGTAGAGACGGGTAGAGGGAGAAGCTTAACCTTCAATAAAGCAGTTTTACAAATTCTTCTCTTGGATTTGGTAAGGGGGTTTTCTGAGCTCTTTACTCAGCATATCAAATTCTGTGAAATCATTTCTATGGTGGCCAGCTAGAGTTGCCTTAATAAGCATTGACCCTCCCTAACGGCAATGCTAGTGAACCAAACACATTTGACTCCTCTGACCTCACAGTGGAACACACACAAACATTTTATAATGCGGTAGTAGGAGACAATGTCGTCCTTAGAATTTTAATTCATGTGAATATGAGAGTCATGTTTTTCCCTTTCTTTTTCTCTTACTAGTTTCTTATACACAGACACCCTTCCAGCCCCAGCGCCACCCCAGGTGCGGCTGGCCAGGGAGGGACCATGGGAGGTTGGCTCCAGGGCGTGTCTGGCCATCTTGCCAAGTCCCAGTCCCGCTCTGCTGGCCTTCGGGGATCGGGCGAAACCGGCTCTCTGACATCCCCCGAGGGGTCGGGGATTGCGAGAGGGTGCAGGCCAGGCCAAGGGACCCTACTGGTGCACGATGGGGGCCAGGGAGGGAACACAGGAAGGCTCCAGGGCGTGTCAGTCCGTCTCACCCATTCCCAATTGGCTAGACCAGGGGTCCTCAAACTTTTTAAACAGGGGGCCAGTTCACTGTCCCTCAGACCGTTGGAGGGCCGGACTATAGTTTTAAAAAAAAAACTATGAACAAATTCCTATGCACACTGCACACATCTTATTTTGAAGTAAAAAAACAAAACGGGAACAAATACAATATTTGTATTTGCATGTGGCCCGCGGGCCGTAGTTTGAGGACCCCTGGGCTAGACCCCCAGCAGCAAGCTAACCTACCAGTCAGAGCGTCTGCCCCCTGGTGGCCAGTACGCATCATAACAACTGGTTGAACGGTCGAACGAATGGTCGGACACTTCGCATATTAGGCTTTTATTATATAGGATTTTTATTATGTATTTCTTGTCTCTTAAATAGTTTAAGTTAAAAATTTGCCTTTTTATTTTAAAAGTGACTAGTCTTTTGATTTAAATGTTCACCACACTAATACACTCTGCTCATTTAAAGAGTGGTGCTCCAAGTATATTCTGTAGGCCTCTGGGGTTCCCCTAGAACCCTTCCTTCTCAGGAAGCCCATGAGTTCAAAACCGTTTGTTGTTTTTTTAATATATTTTATTGATTTTTTACAGAGAGGAAGGGAGAGGGATAGAGAGTTAGAAACAATGATGAGAGAGAAACATCGATCAGTTGCCTCCTGCACACCCCCTACTGGGGATGTGCCGGCAACCAAGGTACAGGCCCTTGACCGGAATCGAACCTAGGACTCTTCAGTCCACAGGCCAACGCTCTAGCCACTGAGCCAAACTGGTCAGGGCCAAAACCGTTTTTATAGGAATATTAAGGCAGTGCCTGCCTTTTTTCTGACATTTGCAATCTTCTATCTATATATATAAAAAGCTAAGCGACCAGCCGGTAGCTATGACATGCACTGACCACCAGGGAGCAGACGCTCAATGCAGGAGCTGCCGAGTGACAGCAACTTTGCAGAGTACCCTCTCACACTCCAGGCCCCCTCGGAGGATGTCGGACTGCTGGTTTCCGTCCGATCCCCGCAGGCCAGGTCGAGGGACCCCACCTGCTGGAGGGACCCTGCTCACTCCACAGACCGCAGACGCCCTTCGAGCCCCGGCGCCACCCCAGGTGCAGCCGGCCAGGGAGGGACCGTGGCAGGTTGGCTCCAGGGCGTGTCCGGCCATCTTGCCCAGTCCCGCCCCATCAGCCACCTTCTGATTAATTTCCTTTCAATGTGCACGAATCCGTGCACCAGGCCTCTAGTGATTGTATAAAAGCAAAAGTGAGTAAAACTGATTTCTGAGCATGAATCAAGGAAGTGGAACCACACTATACTAGTAGTCATTCTATTCTTCACCGCCACTTGCAGTTGAAAAAAAAACTGCTTTGCTTAAGAACATCCTTGATAAAGCAGTAAAAATTTGTAGTGTTATTAAACTTTGATCATTCTCCTTATATTTTGAATAAATGGAAAGTATGCATTAAGCACTTTTGCATTCTAAAATGTGGTTGTGTTAAGGAAAAGCACTTCTGACTTAGTTGTGAGCTGAAGAAGCCTTTTTTTTTTTTCATAGAATAACATCTTTATTTGATAGTACAACTGTCATTCTCTCAAAAACAAAAAATGAGCCTGGCACTTCAAGGAAAATAATTTGTATGTTTGTTGCCAATGACACAATTCAAACTCTCAAGCTAAAAGTCAGAATTTGGGAAAATATGTACCTTCTTTTGTGAGCTTGACAGCTTTTCAATATTTAAGATTGGTGGTGATACTAACAAAAGTGAGCTTTTGCCACTTTATAAAGAAATGTGAACCAATACTTTCCAAATGACCAATACATAATATTATAATAAAATCATGTGCAAATAAAACATTCATTAAACATACAAGATAGCCAGAACTGGTTTGGCTCAGTGGATAGAGCGTCGGCCTGCGGACTCAAGGGTCACAGGTTCGATTCCGGTTAAGGGCATGTACCTTGGTTGCGGGCACATCCCCAGTGGGGGGCGTGCAGGAGGCGGCTGATCGGTGTTTCTCTCTCATTGATGTTTCTAACTCTCTATCCCTCTCCCTTCCTCTCTGTAGAAAATCAATAAAACATATTTAAAAAAAACAACAACAAAAAAACCCCACACAAAAAAACATACAAGATAGATCAATGGGTATTAATTTAACAAATTACCTACTATAAGTTTGTGGATATGATTTTAAATAACATTGTAACTAATGGAATTAGTCCAGCACTTATGGACTTTTGGCATGGTATCAAAGAATACCCACAATTATTTGAAGGCTTTAGAAATACACAATTTTGTACCTATATAACTACATGAGACTGGGTCTTCTTCATGTTGGTTTTTCAAAACAAATGATTGAAGTAATTGCAAATGATTGAAGACAGAGCATACATGAAAATCATCTGTCTTATAGTAAGCCAGACATTAAATAGATTTGCAAAAATGTAAATAAATGACACCCTTTCCACTCATTTTTTGTTGCGAAAAATAATTATGTTAATACTATGGTCCTCAATCAGGGGTGATTTTGTCCCCCAGGGGACATTTGGTCATGGCTGGAGAGATTTTTCTGGTGTCACAATGTGAACTGAGGAGGGGCTGTTATTGGCAACTATAGAGTAGAAGGCATAGAGAGGCCAGGGATGCTGCTAAATATCCTCTAATGCACAAAAATATCCAGTTCAAAATTTCAAGAGTGCTATAAAAATCCTGTTTAAACATACAATGGACTTATTTTTAAATTCTCAATTTTAATTTCTAATACAAACAAATACTCTTTGGAATCCACAATAACTTAAGCGTTAAGAGTCCTAAGACAAAAACAAATGATTCACTTCAATAATGTAATAAAAGCACTCTACAGTTCACTCCAATAATGTCTATAGTTATTTCCTAACACTAAACTTGATAGCTTGTAAATTTACTGCTAGAATAACAAGACAGGTTTTTAAACTCACCTGTTCTTTATGTGGTAATATATTGCTAACGTCACACTGTGGAGGAAAAAAAATTGTAACAATTGTAATTTTAATATGTTAGGTAAGAACACATTTTTAAAAAGGGGTTAGAGTAGGGGAAGACCTTCCCAGATGCCCAGTGGCCTTGAAATCCTCATTCAGAACAGTATCCATATGGGTACTTTTCCCCTTGTTTTAGTTCTTTGGCTTTTAGCAAAAATAGGAAAACCAAAATGCGAAGTAATATGCTGTTAGAAGACATGTTTGGGTTGATTATTATAATATATAAGTTATTACATATTTCCCATCATTTGCCCTTTCACCCATAGAACCTTTCATTCTGTACAAGTTATATTTGTGCACATGCTTCAATTTAAGCTATACAGTAGTTTTTGTGCTTTTTAAAGAAGGTTGTTAGGCTCTGCATTTCAGTTTATTTAGTTCACTATCCCCCTACCACCCATTTCCATCATTTCTGTAAAGGCAAATAAAGTGCTCTATATCAAATAAAATCTTAAGAGCAAATATAAGAACCCACAAAGTAAACAGTCTATCCTGAAATAAGCAGTGCTAACAATGCAGCATAATACTACAGTGTAACATTTAATAAGTTACTACCAAGGTAGCCTAAAATGAAATATTAATGAGCAGATGTAAATCCCCAGATACTGTGTAAGTTATTGTATTCCTAACTGAATAACTGTATGCTATTCAAAGATATTGTGTACTACACACCAAAGGGGTTTTCTTGGTTAAGTTATATGCTTTTCCTCTTTGTCCTCAAGTGTCTAAAATGAAGCTCAAAATAATTGAGGGAAGGCAAATCTGAACTTTATAACTAGGTCTATATAATATTAGCACTTGTAAAAAAGGCTCATACTGTTGCTAGCATCAAAGATGGATACTTCTATAGTGCTTCAGTTTCATCTTCAAATTGATTTGAAAATCACAGAATTCAAAGCATAAAATTTCAAAGCTGAAAATGACCACTGAACCTTAGATAACATTTAATTCAACAAACCATTTTACAGAAGGGAACCAAGGCTTACAACTGACTTGCTCAAGGTCCCACCAATAACTAGAAGCAGTTCTCTTTCCCCTACAGGCCAACCAGGCAGTGGTTCCCAAGCTTAGCTGTACACTGGGATCATCCGAGGAGCCTTAAAAACTGCCTGTTTCCACCTCTAGATGTTCTGATTTAAATGGCTTGGGATTCTTTTTAAAGCTCCCCGGGTGATTGCAATGTGCAGCAAAGTTTGGGAACACGTGAAATCAGGGTTAAGATCAGAATCACCCTGGATACTTTTGCTCATATAATCATGCCAAATTCCTACTGATTACAGGGGGAAGGGGAATGGGCGGAGGGGGAAGAGGGCCTAGAGGAGATAAACAGTGATGGAAAAAATAAAATAAAATGATCAGAATCACCCTGGATGCTTCTGTTCATATAATCATGCCTCACAGCCTTCCTCAGCTTATCAAAAGGCTAGTGGAGAGTGAGAGTGTGTGTTGAGGGAGTGGGGGGAGATGCATGATTTAGAGACATATTTTAGGAAAAAGTTGCATAAGTGATTCTAATAAGGCTCACCCACCCCACTGAGAACAATGTACTACTATCCCATGATAAACATTTTTCAAAATCATCCCTAAAAGTCAAGTAGCTCTATTAATTTTCTCAACCTTTATTTCACCAATAATGAATGTACTGAATGATCATTTTCAAAACTTAATGAGATCAAATTAAAACTTACTGTACTTTCAAAAATTACACTAATTTGGAGAAATAAGTATGAAACCTACTTGTCTGAGCAAGGTTAATCTTTATATGCTGTAACATCAGAATCTTTTGAATTCAAAAGAATCTACAGAATGCAGCCAACGTCAAGTGGTTTCTTACTCATGATTTAGTGCCTTGGCTGAATAAAAATATTCAGTGATTACTCAATAGGTGCCAAAGCTCAGGACTTTAGAGAGAGATGAGGCTCCATTTTTGCCAAAACACAATTTGATCTCAACTATTGTTATAAGTAAGAGAAGTTCTATTAGTATGATTGTGAAATTGCTATTTTTAATTAAAGTACTGATAATTTAATTAGCAAAGAAGCTGGTACATTAGAAGCAAAATTAAATTTATGAGCTAATTACGTTTTTAAGACTGAAAAATAAAATTAGGGATGAGGATATCAATATTTTCAGACAGCATGTCCCAAACTGTGTTCTGGAAAATAAACACTCATATTCCAAGGAGACTTTGATTATATTCCTTGGACAGCTCCAGTGGGGAGTCAGGAAGCTCTACATCCTGTTTTGGTTTAGTTCCCTTTTAAATATGCTTGAAAGGTTCATATTAGGGTATTTTTAAAGTGCATCTCCACCAATTGTGGACTATGTGGTGCTCCCAGAAATATATGAATAGTTTTCATCATCATGACACGCTGTTCATGTTTGCTTAAGTATAAACCTGACAATGGCTATGTTTCCAAAACTTCACCTTTCTCATTTTTTTTCTGTTGTGATTTTTCTTATACATGGATTGATTTAGGGTCTTGGAGATATATACTGATTTCATGCATTTCTCCCTCTTTGGGGGATAGAAAGGAGAAGTGAATTTTTATACAGAAATAGTGCAGAGGGAAAAATGTATAATGGGGAAAATCTGACAAAATCCAACTAAATTTAAATGCACATACACTCTGGTGCCAGTAGGGGACAAACTGTTCCTCCTTCCAAGAGTAGCTTCCAAAGTAATACTCATTGTTTTAGGTCTATGTCTCATAAAGAAATACTTTTTTTCCTAGAAACATCCAATAAAAAGCACCTCTCCTTTTCATTATGTTCAACAATGTCTTAACAACAGAAATGTTATCAAGTAAAGATAAGTAATTTTTCTGGGATTTCTTATTTGCTAACTGGCCTTCCTTTCTTCCATCCACTCTAAGGTTAAAATAAAAATTGAAAATTCATATTTAGGTCCTTGAAATCAATATATAGTTGGCATCAGTTGCTTAACCTGGTCACTAAAAAGGACAATCAAATGACTGAAATTATGTGTGGCTAGGATGCTTTTAGCATAACGGGGTCTGTCACTCAGCCCTTGGCAACCTAGTTGTACTCACCATTGTACTGTGGTTCTAAGATTAGGCTGGCTGACTGTGCTGTCATCTAGAAATATAGTTGAGCATGAGCTATATTTTTTAGTAAGGTGCCCTGGAGATACCTGAAGGGGAAGGGAAATAGAAGAAAATGTCACAGTAAGTTAAACCTATAAAAGTGTGTTTTTTCCTTGGTTAAAATGTCAAACAAGCATTAAGATTCTTCTTATATTCCATGAACTGCTTACAGGGAATCCCCCTCATTAAAAAGGAAACTTCTCTAGGGAAGGGAGGACTTGTCTCTTCTCCTACCTCTAGCTGCTGAGCACAGAATCTGAGACAAATTAGAAGTTCAACTAGTGTTTGAAAAATTATTTGAAATTAATTACAACTGGAAGGTAAATCTTAACTACAAATACAAATTAGAATTTATCTGCAGTGGTATTGGAAAGGTGACAATGAACTTTTTGAGGCCCTCTAGAGAATAAGCTATCTTCAAAACACTTTAGAAGTATCCATTTATTTTAGAATTATCCATTGATTTGTAAAAAGCCCAATAATACAGCAATAATCAAATACTGAAATAGCCTAAACTATGTTAGGACAATTCTCTTCCTTAAAGGCCAATAACTAATCCCAATCACTGTAAGTAGCTGAAAGTAAAAGTAGCATTCTCTAATATTACAGAATAGCAACAATTTTAATATGCTTGGTTTTATTGTATTTTAAAAAAACTAATTCAGATGAGCCTTCCTTCCTTGTATCAATATAAAATAGTTTTTATCATGCTGCCATACTTTCCCATCAGTATGCCCCACAAATACTCAAAATATGGGGCAGGGACAAAATCTAGTTGATGCCTTTTAAAATACAGAACATTTAAAAATTGCCAATAGCCAATAATCAGAAATATCTATATATTATATAAAACACCATTTCACTTGTTTCAGATGTTTCACTGCAAAGCCACTTATTCCTTATTAACCAAAAGTTCCAGAGAGTGCATTTTTGAAAAGTAATATTTGGAGGGACAAATTCTCCTTGAAACTAGAAATGCTTTAACTATAGCTAAAATTGTTACTTAAGCTATGCAGTTCATGTAATTTACTTTTGGGAACATTCAACACTTGCTCATCACTCCAGGCCTACTCCCAACTATTCAAACTTTCAGGATCAAGTATCTAGTATTCACTACAGGGTGGCAGAATTAAGACTCTGAGCAAAGCCTGGATACACTGGCGCCAGCAGGTTCCTTTCCCCTTATCTTGCTTGAAAACTTAAGACAGATGTCCTTTACGGTTAAAGCCTTACTGTTGCTGGCCTACAACCTCAAATACACTACACTGACAAACATAAAAAAAAATGCAAATACAAAAAAAAAAAAAAGAAAGAAAATTAAACAGCCAAAACACTACTGACAATTTAGTGTTGATAGGTATTATTAAAGTTAGTCACTAGGATAGACAGGGACAAAGAGTCATACTTTACCTTCATTTAACACTAATGACAGAATAGATGGACTTTGACAATCTTTACAAGAAAGTGAAGGGCTTGCTAAGTAGACTATGGTTCGATGGCAAAGATTAGAAAAATAATCATACCTAGAAGTCTAATAAGTCACAATCCAAACCCTACTATTAAAGGTCAAGTACCTGTTGAAATTCTGCTTCCACCCATTGTGCTCACTGCCTCATCTTAACCCATTAAAAAATAAAGCCATTTACTTTTTTCTACTTTTTCACAAGTTGTGAATATTAAGAATTAAGGACTTTTAATTAACTTAAAAATTTCTAATACTTTCTGCATTAATGAAAACTGCTCCATCTATGTTGCATATAAATGGGACAATATGGCAGGGTACATGGTTTAAATAGAATTCTTAATTAAGGCTTTAGTAGAAAAGTGTAGTATGCTAATTATAGGTATAGCCAAAAATATTCTCTGAATTAATATCATTATATTGAATTAAAACTTTAAACTTAGAACCTATATTTATTTTTTTAATGATTTTTTTTTTTTTTTTTAGCAAGAAAGGAAGTGAGAGGGTAGAGAGGTAGAAACATTAATGAGGAATAAACATCAATCGGCTGTCTTCTGCACACCCCTTACTGGGGATCAAACCCACCACCCAGGCATGTGCCCTGGCGGGGAACTAAACTGGTAACCTTCTGGTTCATGGGTCGACACTCAACCACTGACTCACACCGGCCAGGCTAGAACTTATATTTAAAGTGCAAATCTAAGTTAAACATGATGGACTGACCACAAATCTATTTCCTCTCCCCTTCCTTTCAGAGATATCTCATTAGAATTAAAGGCATAAAAAAAGGTTATACACAATATAGGAGAAAAAAAGCATGTGATTTTTAATGTTTGAAAGCTGAGGACTAGATAAAGGAGTGGTAACTGATATGGCAGAACAGAAGAAGCACAAACTTGGTGCCTATAGAGAGTGGCTGGGACAAGAATAAGAAAGCCAGTTTATCTGACAGAACCAAAGGCTGGTTCCAAATTCAGAGGCTTGATCCCAAAATCCTGCAATGAGGACTATCAGTTAACAAAAGTCCTGCTCACTCCTGGTGCTTCCAATTACATCTTAACATAGAGCCAGGGACCACCACACATCTGAGGAAAGCCAACAAGCAAGAGAGATCGAAACAGGAAGAAGGAAATTAATGGGAGTGACAAAATACAAGAGCAAATGAAAACATTAAAAAAAAAATTCTTAACCTCAGAAAGACAAAAAATTGCATTGGTGGAAAAACTAATGCTATAAAAAAAAAGAGTGACAGAATATAAGAGAACTCAATAAATTAAAAAGACAAAACAAAGAATTAAATAGAAAGGTTGGAGCATAAAGTCAAACAAATCTCTAGGAAGTAGAACAAGAAGAAATGGAAAATAAGAGGGGGGGAAAGTTAGAAATTCATGCAGGAATACTGGTCTAAGAGTTCCAACTTCTGAGTAATACAAATACTAGAAAAAATAAATACAGAAAATATATATATTTTTAAATTCACTGTCATAAGTGAAGATCTGCAGGCTTAGTGGCCACACACAAAAATGAAAAGGAACATACTAAACCATACTTATGAAATTTCAAAATTCCAGGAACAGAAGGTACTAAAAGCTTCCAAAAGGATGGGAGGAAATTATTAAAATTGTAATATACAATGTATCATATAATGTCAACAGATTTAAGAGCAACTCTGCAAATAAGAAAACAGTAGAAATGGTTTGGAACTGCAAAAATTAGTTGCAACCTACTTCTATACTTCAAATAGGAGGCATTTCAGAAAGGCCAGATCTCTAGAAACTTCTGCCTATGTACTCTTTCCAAGGGAAATGTGCTCCAATGAAACAAGGGAGTATAACAAGACAGAGGGAACATAGAATCGAGGACATAGGGGATCCAACACAAGACAGCAGTTATGTGAGATCTCAGATCACTTCAAGGAGATATGCCAGGGAAACAGGCACAGAGCAGGTCTAGGGAAAACCAGTTTATACTAGAGTGGGATGATAAAAGCTAAGGAATGTTGTTTCAAAAAAAAAAAAAAAAAAAACAGATGGAAAATATTTTTGATAGGCAGGTGACAAATGTCACAACATTTGGAGGGAAAACTGTTGTTAGAAAACAGGCAAGAGAATATAGTCAGGAAACTAATTCCACACACAGAGAAATGAATATTAAGTTAATGTAGCATAAATGTAGTATTTCTGTCTGATGGTCATCTTTGTCAAATTGCTACAGAAAATGTGTGTGTGGTGGCGGTTGTGTTTTGTTTTGTTTTGTTCTTTCTTTGCAGCAGGGAATCCAGCCTACTGACTGCATTTGGCTATGTAAAATCTTGGCTAGGAAGAGGGGGATTAGATTACCCTGAAAAAGTATAGAAGTGCCTAGATTTCAGTTACACTGGAGAAAAAGAATGAAGGGTATCCAAGGAAGTGGCACAGCCAGAGAACTATAAGGCTCAACAGTAAAAAATATTTGTATAATCATAATAATGTAAACACTGATTCTTTAATAAAAACCGTGTAACATGCTGAGGGAACAGAGGGAGGGAAATAAGATCATGGTAGAGAAAGCTAAGTTTCACCTGCTATAACAGGAAGTCAATAAATAGTGCTAAAAATTAACTTAGCTATTATACTTTTGTTACTTTTTTAAAAAAATAAGATTTAAAAATTAAGGCCAAAAAATTATAAGGTATATCTTTAAACCACAACCATGTTATTGAAACTTAACTTAAATGTCAGAACCCTTTAAAATGAGCATTACTAACCTGAAGACTTCCTGAATACATATTTGATAATTATGAAAACAAAAGAGATTTATAAAATCTACAAAGAGATGTCCATACTAACGGTACTGGGTCCATTATATTTTCTAGGAATCATCACAATTTTATTTCAAACTGTTAGTTTCTTACTTAACTTTTCAACTGTTTACTTACATGGTTTACATAGTTGTTCTTCTTCTTTTCTCGCACTAAGAATAAAAAAAAAAATTAACTGATCAATTCTGATACAAATGCCATAGAAAAGTAAAAGTTGCTGATTATGTGACGGATTACCAATATACAAAATTCCATTCCATTTTAAAAATAATTTTTAACAAAAATTATAATTTAAATCACCTGGCAAGATGAGCTCCACAAAGTAAATCTAAAAACTTAGTTTTACTTTTTGACCTAACAGATATTCTATAATAGGTACAAATGAAAGACTTTCCATGGACAGAAGAAAAGGCAGAGCAAATCAGGCCAGGTGAGAAACTTCGCTAATAAATGGTACTTGTTACACATCTGAACAACTTCCCAGTAGTAGTTCTAATTCTACACTTATTCCCACCTTACTTGAATCACCAGGATCTAACAGTGGCAGCTCTAAGAACCAGTTTCTGGCCAGGCACTAACCCCTATTTGCACCAGCACTCCCAGAAGCATCCTGGACCAGTTATTGGTAATCCACTAAAATACCATACTAAAAAATAAATGTCGTGACTCAAATGGGAAGTAACCTATTTAAATTTAAATTTAAAAATGTGTGCTAACCTAACTGAACATATCTACAACACCCAAAATCGATTTGCTCTAACAAAGGCCAGAAGAACAAGAGCTCCAAAGAGAGTGTTGTTTCCCACACTCCTCATTTATGGTAGAATGGGCATCATAGACACACATTCCTTAGGACTGAAGAGAGGGGCATGGGGTAGTTTTTCCCTTTACTATTGCCACTTTCTCTCATGTGAGCCGCCCAAGGCTCTGGAAGAAATTAAGAAATACAGCAATTCTAACCAAAAATGATTGGCTCAAGACAGGCAAAATACACATACACCATGAAAAGGCAGGTTAGAAACCCCCATTTTTTTATTGTGCTACATCACTTCAAACAAAATAAAAACCTCACTTATTGTACTTCTGCTGTGGTAGTCAACTGAAAAACTGGTCATGTGTGGCTTTTTAAGCAAGTAAACTAGATTTAACATAACATAAAGGAGTATAATCAGGCAAGCAGGAGTGTTAAAATCCTACAGTTCTGGTTATCCTAAAACAAGCAGGACATAGGAAATGTACCCTTGCTGATGAGGCTAACCTTCTGGGCAACCCTAGAGGGCTATGTACCTTGGCACAATATTACATTATGATGACAAAGTTTTGAATAGCTTAAAAGTTCTGAGTAGCATCAATCTGGATGTGAGATAGCATCATTTGGTTGAGCACTATATAAAGTGGGACAAAAATCACAAATTCAATCTTCATATATAAACTTATTTTTTTTTTATTTGTTCAAAATGAAAACCTAACTGGGACCTAAATCCTATCACTCATCTTTAAAACGTATGCTCTTTGGAGCAAGGGGAAAAGGACATAGCTGTTTGGAGGAATAGGCCGCATCTAAATCATGTGGCCAATTGACTGTGTTGATAAAGAGGTGGCAAAATGTGTAAACAGATAGCTACCAGTTCTCACTGAATACTTTCTCTAATACGAAAACAAAAAACAGTTTCAAACTTCTCGGAGGAAAAAAATATTGTCTTACCATCCGTTTGAGATTTATTCAAGAAAATTGTGCTTGCCCTTGGATGGTCAGAAGGGTTTGATTCCAAAGCTAACTCTGTATAAAAAGAAGAGAAAAAGACATGCTAATTTAGTTGAGTAGAAAAACATATGATTTTAATAACAGTTACAATATTAATCACTTTTAACAGTGTTAGTAATGATAACAAGCCAATTTTAGTAAAGGCAACAATATGAAAATTCTCCTGGAATATTAATCAATATTAATCACTTTTAACAGTGTTAGTAATGATAACAAGCCAATTTTAGTAAAGGCAACAATATGAAAATTCTCCTGGAAAAATGTAAAACTATAGAATCATTTTATACATTGGAATAAAACCAGGCTATGTCTTAGACTTTTTTAAAAACTTGCACCTAAATAATTTATCCAACTTTTACACGAATCATGTGTGCTTTCCTCCTACTTATCGATTAAAAATACATAGTCCCCTCATTTATGCTGATATTACCAGCACATTCCAGGAACAGTCTCAAGAAGCAAATTATGCTGTGGCCAGTTACTGTCAGATACCAACCAATATATTAAATATGCCAAAACCAAGTGAGTTGTTTTTGGCAAATATTCGTTAGACATTTAAGCTAATTCTAACTCTATTCAACAAATGAACTTATTTAGTTAGCTGTGGTTTATTTGGGGGCTATTCATCATGGCAGATTTAAAAGGAAAGCATAAAAGTTCAATGTTCTAATCAATAGGAACACTTTCATGATAGTGATTTTTAATACTTTCATAAAATTGATTTTAAACGTTTTGCCCTCAATTTCCAAAGCTAAAAAGTTTTACTTCTTCCTTCTATGCCACATAATTATTTTGGGGCTTCAATAAGAATACTTTCTGGAGCTGGTCATAGGGCTGCTTGTAAAAAAAAACTGTGCTGTACCTATGTAAGTGTAGGTCTGACTGCAGTCCACCTTGCACCAAGGTGGGATAATCTATTTCAGCCAGAATACAAAAAAGGTACTTACATTTCCATTAAACAAAGTTTGCCACCATACAAAATAATAAAGTTGTCATTAAAACAAACAAAAAATAAATCCCCTATAGTACTCAATAATGTCCAACTCAAACCACTTAACCAATCTTATAAGAAAGTGGACCAACATCCTGATAAGAGGAATGGTTAAGGCAGTATTTCTCTAACCACATAATAACGGTTCTATTTTTTAAAAGGATGTTTGGTGGTCAAATCTAAATACACTATAACACTGTTACTCAGGGAATCAAAATGCACACTGCTATGTTAAAAACTAATCAGTCCAATAATGAATAATGTCTAACAGCATTTCACAAATTTATCTAACTAGAATACCTTTACCCTCCAAGTAATACAGTTATAATCTTGCACAAACATAATTTGGGACTTCCTGGTTTAACAGGAATCTGAACCATTCATTTTATTGGTACTGCCAGCACTGGAAATTTATAGAGCGAAACCAACTGCTTTGTTTTTTAAGGAAATTCCTTCAAGTTTATTAAACTGCTTCTGGAACTTCTATTAAACATTTTTATGTAAAAAGCCCATAAAGTTATTTTAAAGACTTTTTCCCACATATTTAAAAAATGAGACAATGTTAGCTACTTGAAAAATAAATTAATTCAGTTGACAAAGTGACAAGCAGAGACTTCCACAGCTGCCTCTAACCTCAGGCTTCTGAAAGGATTCAGGACTATTTCCTACCAAAAATAAAGCAAATATATTGCATCTGAACCTAAAAAATAAGCAGAAATGTTTGCAGAAGTAGCCACATTATGTATCAGTGCCTATGACATGATAAAGGTTTTTAAATTTAGTGATTGATTGCCTTAACCAGTGTGGCTAGGTGGATAGAGCGTCGGCCCTTGGACTGAAGGGTCCCAGGTTCAATTCCGGTCAGGGCACATGCCCGGGTTGCAGGCTAGGTCCCTAACATGGGATGTGCAGGAGGCAGGTGATCCATGATTCTCTCACATCATGGATGTTTCTATCTCTCCCTCTCCCTTCCTCTCTGAAATCAATAAAAATATATTTTAGCCCTAACCGGTTTGGTTCAGTTGATAAGAGCGTCGGCCTGCAGACCGAAAGGTCCCAAGTTGGATTCCGCTCAAGGGCATATACCTGGATTGCAGGCATATCCCCAGTAGGGGGTGTGCAGGAGGCAGATGATTGATGTTTCTCTCTCATCAATGTTTCTAACTCTCTATCTCTCTCCCTTCCTCTCTGTAAAAAATCAATAAAATATATTAAAAACATTAAATTTAGAAAAAAAATAATAATTTAGTGATTGATTTTAGAGCGAGAGAAGGGGGAGAGGGATAGAAAAAGGGGTGAAGGGAAGGAGAGAGAGGAGAAGGGAGGGAGAGAGGGAGAGAGAGAGAGAGAGAGAGAGAGAGAGAGACCAATGACATCAATTTGTTGTTCCACTTATTTATGCATTCTTTGTTTGATTTTTGTATGTGCCCTGACTGGGGATTGAACACCGGTAACCTTGGCATATCGGGATGACGCTCTAACCAACTGAGCTACCTGGCCAGGACCTAAAATTTTTATTAGGAAGTCCAGGAAAAGTACCGTAATCAAAGGAGGAGGAGGCTTAAACACACACACACACACACACACACACACACACGCACGCACGCACGCACGCACACACACATGCAAAATCATGAAGGCTGGGATAAAAAAAGACAACACGTAGGAAAAAAAGCAAAACTAACCCACGTGACAAGAAAAAAATATGGGGCCCTAGCCGGTTTGGCTCGGTGGATAGAGCATCGGCCTGCGGACTGAAGGGTCCCAGGTTCGATTCCGGTCAAGGGCATGTACCTTGGTTGCGGGCACATCCCCAGTAGGGGGTGTGCAGGAGGCAGCTGATCGATGTTTCTCTCTCATCGATGTTTCTAACTCTCTATCTCTCTCCCTTCCTCTGTAAAAAATCAATAAAATATATTTTTTTAAAAAAAGAAAAAGAAAAAATATGGGAATCCCCCTACCCTACACAGAGAGTTCCAGAGTGGGCTCCTGCCCCAGGGCTGACCAACCAATCACAGCTGCCCTGGGATCTCCCAAGAACCAAAGGAGAAAGACAGAGCTGTACTCAGGATCCTTAGCTGGACTGGAGTTGTGATGCTCCCTTTTCCATCATGAGGAAGAAGCCTTTTCAGTAGAGATCAACAGGAGAGCAGAACTGAGACAAGTTCTGAGAAAATAATTTAATTCCTGGATCAAGATTTTTATTCTGTAAATTCTGGTTATATAAGCCAATACTTTTTTAAAAATTTAAGCTATTTTGCAATAGATTTCCTTCAACTTGCAACTAAAAGAGACCTGGTTAATCAGCAGCATGGATGATCACACTGAAGGTGGGAACAGGTAAAAGCCATTTGCTCACTCCTTTAACAGATATCATAAACCAAAATTTGTAAGAGCCAACATAATGCTTTGTTTAAAAATTACCCATATAACCTCATACCTGTCAGCATGGCTGGCTATCATCAATAAATCAGCAAACAAGTATTGGCAAGGATATGGAAAAAAGAGAAACCTCGTGCGTGCACTGTTGGTTAGAATGCAGACTGGTGCAACCACTATAGAAAACAGTGTGGGGGGTTCCTCAAAAAATTAGAAATGGCACTGCTTATGACCCAGTGATTCCACTTCTGGTAATATATCTGAAGAAACCTGAAACACTAATTCAAAAGAATATACGCACCCCTATGTTCATTGCAGCATTACTTAAAACAGCCAACATTTGGAAGCAACCCAAGTGGCCCATCAGTGGATGAGTGAATAAAAAAAGCTGTGGTACATTTACACAATGGAATACTATTTAGCTGCAAAAAGGAAGGAAATATTACCTTTTGAGACAGCATGGATGGAAAGAGGGTATTATGCTAAGTGAAATAAGCCAATCAGAGAAAGACAAATACCATATGATTTCATCTATATGTAGAATCTAATCAACAAAATAAACAAACAAAATAAAAACAGACTCAGATACAGAGAACAGACTGACAGCAGTCAAAGGGAATTGGGGTGGGTTGGTTAAAAAAAGGTGAAGGAATTAAGCAGTACAAATTGGTAGTTGCAAAATAGCCACAGAAATGTAGATTACAGCATTGGGAATATAGTCAATAGTATTGTATGGGGCCAGCTGGGTATTTTTGAAGCAGTGGTACTAACCACTTTGCTGTACAACTGAAACTAATACAGAATAATATTTTTTAAAAAAGACGATATCCTTTTCTATAAAAATAACCAAATTGAAAAAAATCAATACATTAATATAAGCATATTGTTTAGGGGGAAATATTCCTAAATATTTTAAATAAATTTAAAAATTGAAACTTAAAAAATATAAAAATTACCCATATACTCACAACCATTACTATTAGTTGATTTTCTTATATGTACTTTGTTTTTAAAGAAAGCTGTAACCGGTATACAATTTATTTCCTATTGTGTTACAAGCGATCTCTACCTCATTGCAGCATATTTACTGTTTAATGTCATAATGGCCCATAAGGTGTTATTCCCAGGATTTACTTAGCCAATCTCCTATTGGGGTTTAGGTACTTACAAAGTTCTACTCTTATAACACATATGGTGTTTTTTAAAACAAATTTTTTTAATCTCCGTAGGAAAGATCTTCAAAATAAGATGACTAGACCAAAAGATTAGATCATTTTCATTGCTCAATATATAATACGAAGTTGCTTTCTAAAACGGGTGGCAGCATATTAGAGTATAATGCCACCAATCATACTAGTTTTAGCTCCTACTCCAGCATTGGATACGTGAAAAAAGTCCTAGTGCCAGAACCGGTTTGGCTCAGTGGATAGAGCATCGGCCTGCGGACTCAAGGGTCCCGGGTTTGATTCCGGTCAAGGGCATGTACCTTAGTTGCGGGCACATCCCCAGTGGGGGGCATGCAGGAGGCAGCTGATCAATGTTTCTCTCTCATTGATGTTTCTGGCTCTCTATCTCTCTCCCTTCCTCTCTGTAAAAAATCAATAAAATATTTAAAAAAAAAAAAAGTCCTAGTGATGTGAATGAG